AGAGAGAGAGAGAGAGAGAGAGAGAGAGAGAGAGAGAGAGAGAGTTCTTGCACTTGATTTCATGCATTGGTTTTGAATCTCGTTGTACTTCCCTCATTTCTTTATCGAGCTTCAATCCGCAATCCAATATGCAATTGTTTCATGTATTGTGTTCGTCCGACTTTGTCGTATGTGTGTGTGTGTGAGTGTGCATTTGTCACGCAAAGAATCAGTTCGTCACTTAGTTTGTCAGTCGGTCAATTAATCACTGAAGGTACAAGGTTGGTGTGTGTGTGCATGCGGCGCCGTGTGTGCATGTATCTGCAACATATGGCCCAGCTGCAGCAGCAGTACTTGGAGCATTTGCTGCTGCATCTGCAACATATGGCGCAGCAGTTGCAGTATCATCTGCTGCACCGTGCTGCATACCCTGCTGCAGCAGCAACACTTGCAGCATTTGCTGCTGCATCAGCGCATGCAACACGGTGCAGCAGATACAACAGCAAATGCTGCAAGTGTTGCTTTTGCGACAGCCCTGAACTTACAGCATTTGCCGCTGTATCTGCTGCACCATGCTACATGCGTTGATGCAACAGCAAATGCTGCAAGTGTTGCTGCTGCAGCAGGGCATGCAGCATGGTGCAGAAGATGATACTGCAACTGCTGCATCTGCTGGGCCATATGTTGCAGACGCAGCAGCAAATGCCGCAGGTACTCCTTGACTTTGACGGCTACATGGATGGTAGTTTGCAGACGGTGAGAGATCTCCGGGTGAGGCTGGGAGGTCATGTAGATATGGACGGTCTATTGGCCAGAGATGCTGCGGAGGACAAGGAGGCGCACTGCCATGAGGACGTGATCACATCGTCTCGCGGGATGGAGACAGGAGGTGCCTCGAGTTCACAGTGTCCCGCCACTTCAGACTGTGAGGTTATTCCTGAGCGTTCCCATGGTTGCGAAGTGGGCAGAGAGGATGCTACAATTGAGGACCCGCCTTGTTCGGCGACGATCGCTTCTGTTGCTGGCATCGGCCACGTAGTTGGGAGTGGGGGGTC